ATGCTTGGTATGTCAATATGACAACAATCCACTTCGAATCCCAAAAGCTATCAGAGCACGATTTTGTTACGTAATTTGTACACACAAAAAATATAATTAAACTGAAAATAATACTCAATCATATATCAATATAGGTAAATGACTGACCGCAAACGACAAAAATCTTCCAGAGCAAAAGAACTGATATATACTTGAGACATTATAGTCAAATTAGTAATTAAAATATCTATAAACACCATGGTATAAAGAAAGTGATGCATGATGATTTGGCACTTCGGCACTTCATGTTCCTCATGTGTCAGCCATCATTTATCCTTCACCTCATAGTCAAATTGTTTCTTTATGAAAGATCATATGCCGTAAAAAGAGCCGAAGTACTTACAGTATATATTAAAACAATAACTACATACAGTACATTTTGCATCACAAGAACATTTATAAAATTTACGAAAACATATTATTTTATAGAATCATTATGAGTACCATCCTGAGTCAAAGAATAATCCTAGGAAAACACTCGTTTACAATTGATAACAAAGAGAACTTTAGATACACATTGCAAGTTGCATCTGATTAGAAAGGATATAAATACAAACATATTTGTAAATGTTTAATATATTAGCATGATCAGCTGTATATTGTTCATTTGTAATAATTAATAGTTTCACCTCATGACGGTCATCATCAGCATAAATTAAATAGTTTGTATGAACTATGAACTGTGTTGGCACAGTACTTAATACTTTATCTACATAAAGGTTGAAAAGTAACAGAAAAATATATCCCCGGCCTTACTACATTAGTTACATCAAATTCATCAAAGGTAATTTCCCCCGAATCAAATTAACAAGAAAAAGGCTCTAAACTTACATAAAGTGGAACATTACTACAAATGAGTTTTGTTAGTATTTATGACATGTCGTGATATGTGCAGCTTGTGGGTACATATTTAGGACAAGCGTGTATTGATTGACAACTCACTACAGAATGACTGATTGACAAGCCGACTAATTGACTGATTGTTTGTACAATGTGAATGTTTGTTTTACGATTAGAAAAATATTAATCTATTTATTTTGCAATTAAGTGACATATTTATTCAAATGAATTATGATTGTTCACCATATCAGGATAGAGCATAAAAATCACATATACATATATATGACTACCTTGTGATATGTGTTTAATCGACTGACTTATTGTTTGCTTGATTTTGTAGTTTAGTATTAGTTTATTAAATTTAGTGATTTGTTCATTATGAGACAAATAAGTGTTCATATTCACTCGGCAATTTCAATGACTTATTTATTTAATTTTGAGATTCTAGTAATTGAACTATAATTTTGCGCCATATCACGATATAAATAATATGTATATGATAATTTTATAATAATCCTCATGTCAGTACAATATTATTTCTTATTCCGGGTCAAAGGACTCGACTAGCTCAAATAAGCTATTTCCATGACCCACACCAGAATCCTTTGCAGTGGTAAAAAGGAAAAATTAATTGTGTTATGTATATTTTCATTTTCTGGTGTAAATAAATACAATACAATACATTTGATGCGTAATTTCAATTCTTGTTTTTTTTCGTAGGTAAACATTCCACCGTACATTTACATAACCAGGCCAAGTGACTTAATTTGCATACTAATGGAAGCTGATACACTGCACCTGTATATAGTTTTTTGTTTGTGTTGTGTGTTTTTTTTCAATAAAGTAATATATGGAAGTGTATAAATGGCGAAACCCAGGTAACCCGACTATCACTTACATACTCCAAAGGATTATAATCATAAAATTTATATTATAGAAAAATCCCACCAAAGAAAAAAAGATGTTTTATCGAGATAACGGATACTTCCGTAACTTGATCTAAAGTACACGATCGTGTTTTTCTACATCTCAGCTGTATTATATCTTGTTACAAACAATAATTGTGTCTGCACATTGCCCCAAGATACCTATGTACTAAAGTTGATCAAAATTCACTAGGAAGTTTTCGAGTTATTGCTTATGCAGGCTGAAAAGAAATAATTAATATGCAAATTAGCTAATTTATATGCACATACATGGCCACAAAACTAATCATGTCTGTGCATGGCGACTTAGGAGATGACTCTAATAATATTCTCTATTCGATCTAATAGAACCCATTCGATTTATCATCGAACTTTATCCAATATTATCGGAGAATAACTACCCTATGCGAATTCGAAGCAGGTACTAATAATATTCTCTATTGGATCCCACACCATCTAACACCAATGTAAATTCAATCTAGTATTATATTATAATAAGATATAATAGAAACAGTTAGGTATATTAATGGAAGTCCCATATTTTATATTTATTCAACAGGTTATTTATACTTACATTATCGATGTAATAGACGATAGTATTATTCGATAACGGTAAAAGACAATGTCGCGTTTTTTTTTTCTCTTCTATCCTATACTGTAAAGTACATTATTTTCACGTGCATGTTTTTTTCGCTGGAGGGATGAATCGGTGGGAATAAAAGCCAGTGGATAAACCTTTTTCCTATATTTGACATTCGACTAATCAGAGTTCAGTGAAAATAAATTTCATATACAACAGTATAAAACGAAAAGCTGTGGGTGATTTTCCGTTCATTTCGCGTAATGCATGAAAGACACGGGCCGGTCGTCTGCCACAAAAATTGAACAATTTGATTTTGGATTTCTTTTTTTTGGTTCAATGTGAAAATGCCTATTTTCAGAAATTAAAGCAAAATTTAAGAAAAAAATGTACATATAATTGCCGCAGCTAGGCCAGTCAAAGGGGGTGGGGCGTCTCTGAATAAAATATGGTACGCAAGCTGAAGTAAAAAAAAACGCGTAAAAGTGTTATTTAGTTATCTGAATGAGAATTTCATGAAAAGCAATTTACCAGCTGCCTCAAAATAACACCAAAAAATATTTATATAATAATATTTTCACAGTATTACTATTTATTTATTTCTTTATTATTATTATTATTATTATTATTATTACTTATGTATTTTATTGTTCCTTAAATCCTTATTGTATTCTAATCTAGATCCCAGAAGGGATACGATATCAATAAAGGTTGTTATTATTATTATCTGACGCGTATACGCGTGTTTAGGGTCGAATATTTTAAAAAATATATAAATAAAGGGTCGACTTACATTTGATGTAGCATAAATGTTGTAATGTTATCCTTTTTCACTTTTTACTTGGTTCTATTGTATGATAGCTTGCTTGTAAATCATATTGGAACTTGAAGCCGGATATAATTTCGAATATAGAAATGAGGTGTGAAAAGAGGAATCTCATGAATTCATGTTACCTCAACTTAAAAACAGTGTGATTTTATCTATTTTCAGTTTCTCCACTAAAATAATTTCAAAAACCAATACGTGTTTAGAGGCTTTTTTGGAAAGCTATACTGTAAAATGACTAATTTTCACTGGGTTTAAACTTCACTGATTTACCATTTCAGGCATATTCAGTGGGTTTTAAATTCACGGTTTCGTCATTTAGATAATGTGTTCTATGCTAAATTTTACATATTCACTGGATTTTAATTTAGCGCATTTTTCCAGTCAGCGAAATAAGCTAAATTAAAACCCAGTGAATAATTACCCCCTTTACAGTACTTAAGGTAGCGAGAAGGGAAATTTTCACTTTTTTCTTGATTTTTCACAAATTGATAAAACGGTTACTTTAGACCTTGATACATCACCCCAGGTTTACAAAAGATCGAAATTGCGAAATAACGTTGCTCAAATTAGTGTTTTAAAACACTAGCAGAAAAGACTACAACTGGCGTTTCGTGGATATTTGCATAATGTTTATCTTTGAAAGGGTTTAAATGATAACATCTTATCTGTTTACTCTGTTGTTGACGATTCTGATATAACGGGTGATAAGCTTCCAGTTGCAAACAATGCGTGTTTATCTAACGTCCATTGTCAGCATTATTGTCAGTCGAGACTTCGACCGAGAAACATGGTCATACAGTACTCATTTCGC